TTTTATTGTTATATAATAATCTTTAAAAAAATAATTCAGCTATAAGAGTGCAAAACGGAACAAGTTATATCTTGATTTACTTTTAGTAAAAGCCTCAAATGCATGTTAATTAATGAATGCATGATTCATTGACTGACTTTGTTAATGGATGAATGACTATTATTACTGAATATGGAGAAAGCACATTTCTGGTAGGATTTTATAAAAGTTTTAACTGATTTAAATTAAACTATATGCATACATCAACAGGTTCACTGTCTTGGAGGAGAAACTGGAGCAGAAGTTTGGGAACATCTTCTTGTTATGATTCGGTGTCCCTTTTTGGCACTTTCTGCTACTATCAGTAATCCTGAAGATCTTACCGAGTAAGCCTAAATTTTGAAATCATCATTGTTGCAATTAATGGAGAGTTAATTGCATCTGTTGCTGCTGCTGTGAAATACCAATGAGTTGGTTCTGACCTATAGTGACCCTGTATAGGGTGCCCGACAAGTGACTGATGACCTTGAACTGCTGACCTTATGGTTCAAACTGACTTTGCAGTCAGGCACATTAACCCACAGTGCCACACAGGACTCTAGTCATGAGTTAATTCCAATAATCTCTAAAATAGAATAAAGCTAAAAAAAATCTTATTATTTGAGATTTATTCTTTTCTTTTGGTTCTATTTATCTAGAAAACATGTCTTCTAATTTTTTGACCAAATAAAATTACATGAAAAATTATATACATATAGGAAAGTAGTGGTTCTAAAGGTTAAGCACTGGACTGCAAACCATATTGTTGGCTATTTGAATCTACCATCCACTCTATGGAATAAAGATGAAGCTTTCTGCTCCCACAGATTTATTGCCTTAGAAACTCTATACTGGGTGACTATGAATTGAAAGTGACTCAATGGCACTTAACAATAAATATATATATACACACATATATACACACACACATACATATATATGTATGTATGTGTGTGTGTGTGTATATGAGATAGAGAGAGAGAGAGTGCTGGTGTGGTGCTATAGGATAAGTATCTGACTGCTAACCATGAAGTTAGTAGTGCAAATCCAACATTTACTCCTTGGAAACCCTATACAAGCTTGCTATGTGTCAGAATATGAGTCAGAACTGACTCAATGGCACCTAACATATATTTATATATTGTTGCTGTTTTTAAGTGCCCTCGAGTTGGTTCTGACCCATAGCAACCTTATATAGGGTTTCAAGGGAGCAGTTGGTGAGCTTGACTTTGCAATCTAGCACACTAACCCACAATACCACACCAGTTCTCCATTAT